AAGCCAAAGATATTTCTACAAAGCCAAAGATATTTAATTTTTCTTTCAAATTTAATTTATGTGTTATTTATTAAAAAGTAAGCGATTTCAGCAATAAACGCAGTTCTTCGTCTCGATTATTATTAATTACTGGTTTAATTCGTGAAATTATACCATCTGTGTTCATTAGAATCATTACAGTTTTCTTTTTTTTTTCTCCTGAATAATGTTTTAAGCTGCTGGTTGTGCAAGTGGCTACTGCTATCAACAATATCTCGAAATTCTACATTAGAGAAAAGTCTGAAAAATCCTTTCATTAAGATTTATGTTTACATTTATGTTGTTTTCAGTTTATATGTTATACGGGATTTTAACGAAAGTTTCCCGCCGCCGCAAATATCGTCTGCGCAAACATTTCGCGGTGGCGTGTTAATTATAGTTTGTCAAACGATTTTTGGCATTTGAAAGAGACTTGCTTTAGAACACTGTATTGTGAAATTTTTAAAAAAATATCGATATCATTAAGTACAAGGTGTCTGAAATGGAACTAGTAGTTTACGCTACCAGATTAGAAACATCATTACTTCCAGTTCTGTTGCAAAAAGTCAGCTACAGAATGTCACCAAATCATGTGTACAGCTTTGGGTACTAATATTGTATCGTATGATACTGTGAAGGTTTGGTACCGAAAGTTTAAAAACAAGATTTATGACATTCAAGAAGCAGAGCTCTCTGACCAGCCTACTGATGTTGATGAGACCCGCCTGCGAGAATTTGTGGAAGAAAATCAGTATGCAAGCACTCTCGACAACTTGCTAAGGAATTAGACGTTAGTGCCATTCCCATTAGTCGGGCTATGCATCGCATGAACATGGCATACAAGTTCAATAGTTGGATACCGCATGAGCTGACTCAAGCAGGTAAAGACAGTTGTATTCACGCCTGCACTAATCTTCCCGAATATCAACGCAAGAGCAAAATTCTGCCCGGATCGTCACTTGAGATGAAACGTGGATTGAGTTCAACAATACGAAAATGAGGTTGGTCTCCGCCCGGTGAGCCCGTAGGCAACGTCGCAAAGCGCAGTTTGACTAACAAAAAGATCATGCTTTGCATCTGGTGGGATTGCCGTGATATTATCCACAAAGAGTGTCTAGAAAAAGGTAAAACTCTCGACAGTAAGGCGTACAGCGAGATGCTAGTCCATGTTGACGCTGCTATCAAGGGAAATGGGATCCTTTGTCACATCCACCATATAGCCTCGACATCGCTCCTACAGACATCTACATTTTTCACACCTGCAGCTAAATCTTGCTGGTGCTATTTTTCATTATGCACAGGGCGTCCGAAATGAGGTTGATCTGTTTTTGGACACACGGGCCATCAAGTTTCTGGGTGGAAGGCTTTGAAAAAACTTCAAAACGTTGGCAGAAAATCATAGATTTGCGTGGTTATTACTACCCGCACTAAAGATACTGTTTTCATGTTTTTTTTCTAACTTTATTAAGAACGTTTTTTGGCCGAAAACTTTCGTAGCAACTAGACATTTTACTTCAATTTATACGCAAATCTGATGTTTACTTCGGAGACGGATTCGAGAAAATCTTTTGATTCATAGAGATAGGAATACAGTGATTATCGGAATTTCTTCGTCATATCGCTGGAACATGGGTTTGAAGCCAAAATTTCTGCAAAACATTAAAAAAAAAAAATTAAACTATTCAGATTTTAATGTCGCACTAGAGAGTTCATTAAGTTTTTTTTTTTTTTTTTTTTTTTTTTTTTTTTTTTTTTGCTTCACTGAGTTTGCAGTTTATCTATCTGCTCTTGGAATCACTCCTCATCACATATTTTTTTTCCCTTTAAACATGACTTTTTTCATACGTATGCCGTATAAAGCTCATCATCAATATCACCAAAATTTTGAAAACAGTAGAATTCCCAATGCCATGCATATTACTCCAACATCCTTTACATTACTTCCTTTACTGCGTACAAGTAGTAAAGGAAGTATTGTTAACGGAAAAAAAAAAAAAAATATTCGGGTATCATATTTCCCCGAAAGTATTCATTTTGACCTCTCTCTAATCCATCTAAACGATTTCTTTGTGTGACATCTATCTAGAAAAAATGACTTGTTTTCCCAAAACGGATTGTCAAACAGATTTAAAATGGATTCAGAAGAGATTTTTTCGTGACGTACGTATGTATGTACGTATTTCGCATAACTAAAAAACGAGTAGCTTCAGAACGTTGAAATTTTGTATATACGGCTGCTATAAACATGGTTGTGCAACTCCCCTTTTCGTTGCAATCGGCCGCATTTGGCGCATTGCTTGTTTTCGCGTAAAAACTCTAATTGTAATTTTTTTAAACTGTTTTAACTGCTTTTGTGGTTTTCAAGTTTTCCTGCATTTTACAATTTTTTAATGAAGACGTTTTGAGTTTTTATGCATTTTTGCTTTTGCGTGAAGTGAGAACTGAATTGATTGAATGAAAAATATGTCTAATGAAATTCGAGGAAGTAAGTTTAAATGAAGTGCAGCAAAAAATATGTATAACTTAATAAGGCCGTACAAGGAAGTCATATGGTATCCTCGTCAGATATTTTTTTTTTTTTAATAAATTACCCGCATTCTGTAAACATAAAAGTTTAAAATGAAAGATTTAAAAATTTTACTAAGTTATGCGGTTTTATTTAAATGCAATAGAAGGAAAAAATAATGTTTTTAGCTTTTGTAACTGTCTTGATCTTACGGTTTCGGTTTGGTTTGTTTTATTTTGTTATGCCAAAGCACATGAGGATTATCTACCTTCGTACATGATTTTCTAACGGAAACTGTCTCATATCATCGTAACATATGGAGAAAACCATGCCCATGCATGTCCGTTCACCTGAAATCAAACCTAGGTCGAACTATTAACGTTTACAAATTTTACACGGTCTTATGGGACTTAAAAAATAAAATTTGTGACGTAGATACACAAGTTGTACTACAGTTTCATAAAGCAATTAATAGAAATGGCACATATGAAAATAATTACTTGATTTTTTTTTCTTTATGTAAAATTCATCAATATTAGTATGCATGTATATTAGTATGCATTAGGTTATTTCGAAGCAGGAGGGATGAAAAATGAGCAACGTCATCGCCGGGACTCGAACCACGGGCTTCTCGAATACACGTCGAGCGTGCTGACCACTACACTACGAAGACATGCTAAGAAGGCAGGAGAAATACCTTATATACTTCCCCTTTTAAAGGTCAACTGGGGATTAGGGGACCCAACGGCCAAATCCTGGGTGTGGAGACTCATCATCCACCGCCCTTTTAGTTCGGGCTCCACTGTAGAGACATTAGGTTATTTCGAAGCAGGAGCTGTGAAAAAAGAACAAAGCCCTCGCCGAGGCTCGAACCACGGACCTCTCGAATACGCGTCGAGCGTGCTGACAACTACGCTACGAAAGTATGTTAGGAAGGCGAGAGAAATAGCTTATAAGCATACGATTTTATTTTTAGTCCCATATGACCGAGAATACTGTGATAGCTAAAGAAGATCTTTTACTTTTTATTATAAATTAAAACGGTGTAACTTAAAAAGTGTTTTTATATATTTTTGATTTTGAGGCAATCACATAATCCTTTTCATTGCCAATACTGAAGTTATCTGATAATATTACAACAATGAGGGATTAGCACTACTGAAGTTGTCTGTTTTTCATCAGATAATGTACTAGTAATAATACAATATTTCTCTGTTACAGTTGCAATAATGAGCACTGGCATACTGTAATAATAATTGCTTTTCTTTTTTAAGTGAGTAATACTAAAAAGAAGTTCAGGCATAAGACAATAATCGTTTCCTAATAATCAGATTTCTGTTATAAAAAAATTAAGAGTTTGTACGTACGCAGGTAAGTATGTATGTATGTATGTTTCTCGCATTGTGGAAAATCAGCGGTACCTACAGCTGCCAAATTTCGAACACATCCTTAATACTCTACATGAACATGGTGCACCTCGAAACCTGAATTTTGAAATTTTTTTGTACATTTATTTTAGGTTTTATGCGAACTTGCAGATGGAATTTTGATCCACAAATTGGCGATTTAAAAGCAATATATTGTCACTTGGAAAAGAGTAAGATTCAAAATGTTTCAGATTTAATCAGAAAACTGAGGTATTTAAAAGAAATGTGTTGCAACTGCCAGAAATAAAATATTTTTATCTTCCACGTGGCAGTGTGTTGGCATTCTGCAAAGCATAGTACCGTCAGTATAATAAGATGACACTAGGCAAAGCATAGTACTGTCAGTATGATAAGATATATCATCTTGTGAATATGATATTTCCTTTTTCATTCCAATTTATTCTCTCTGTTATTGGTGTACAAATTCACAATTAAAAAGTAATCATTTCAGTTATTCATATTTATTGTTACTAATAATTCATCAGACCCGTAAAATTACGCTAGGTGGAGTAATTAAAATCAGGATACATTTTTTTTCTTTCTCATGATTTTAGCTAATAAAATAATGTATTTTCTCATAATTTTTATTTTTAGAAAAGATTTCATAATTTATAATTTAAAGAACTGCTGTAACCCGCTGTTTTTATTTCTAGTTTCTGACACCTAAATGTAACTTAAGTGTTACGTAAATCTAATAATTGTTTTATCTTTGTTTACGGTTTCCTGTTTTTACTAAGCTATTGGCAATTTTACAAGCATGTCGCCTATATAAATGTTTCGCGTAAAAGCGAGCATGCTGTTGAATTTCTCATGTTTGTTTTGCTGTAACCGCATTTCTATCACAAGAGTCAAGAGTAATCTATTGTCTGAAAAGCCTGCTGCTCCTCATTTAGAACAGCTGCTTTCGAAAACTTTTCGGGAAAATGTTAGGAAAAAATTTCAGACAGCTTTTTAGGCATTTTCTGCTTTAAACTCACCTCGTTCGCTGCCTGAAAAACGAGTGGCTTGAAGGACGTTAGCCTGTGTTTACCCAAACCTATCAACAGTTTAGGTACCACCAAAAAAAGAATAGATCGGACGACGAAACCCAGGCAAGTTGCATTTATCTTGGCTGGCATCAGCAGGTCGTGTAACGTCATGCGTGATTATTGGACTGTGAAGGCTGTGACGTCAAAGGGCGCATGCGCGCTATTTCCCGAGGAGTGCTGTCCCAGGATCGTAGGCCAGATGCCAAATTTTAGCGCTAAGGTTTGCATGTTGCAAAAACGGGTTAGTTTTAATTCTTCACGTAGGGTACTCGGAGCGGAAGATAATACGAAACAACAAAGTGTACTTCCAATTTTTTACTTTTTTGAAAGCATATTATTGTTAATTAAGTCTTTATCTTAAATTTCATTAGGATACATTACTTATTGATATTTTTTTATAGAGAAACCATTAAAAAATAAATTAGATTTTTTCTGTTAGGACATCGGGCACCGGAATAATCACAGTAAACCGTTAAGCTGTATCTTACTTGAGGCAAAGACTAGCATTTTTGCCCTGCGGATTATATTTTGGCGAGTTTTGTGCAGAAGTTTTTTGAAGAGAACTCCAAATTTAAAAAGACTGAAACATTACTCTCTTCATTCAACATGTACTTTAGCGGTCTTCTCGCATAACTGATTTCACATTCTTTGATAAGGAACAACATAGTTATAATTTTTTAAGGTACGAAATGGCAGATCAACAAATTCAAGCGAGCACCAGAATGTCTCGCTCACCTTCTAAATCAAGAAGCAGATCATCAGATAAAGTTCTGAACAATAACGAGAAACAAGACAACCTAAGCACTCCAAAATTCCACACGGTTACCAAAAGTCCCAGTCCATGCAATCGCAGAGCTTCGGCTGTCCATATCGGTACGACAACTTCCTCTGCCAGCGCCAGATCTTCCCACAACCGTTCGAGGTCCTTGCGGGCAAAGAGACACTCGGCTCACATCCCCCACTCTCTCAGTGGATCGCAACTAGACTCGAAACCAGTACTGAATCCGAGATCTAGCATCAGCCACTCCTTGTCCGTGCCAGCAGGTGAAGATGGAGAATTCCACTTGGTTAGAAACTTCAGCGTTACTTCTAAAGGAATTATCAACAGAGGGGACTCGTTCCGATGCAAATCTCGATCGACATCTGTATGTTCCACGCCCACCTCGCCGGTGTCCGAAAATTCTTTCCCGGATTTCGCAGCTAATGTTTCTCCCGGTGCATCGACATCGACATCAACAACGGCTTCATCTTCAGCACCTACCACTCCGACTTCAATTGCTGCAACGAATTCTGACACCAAAGAGGTACCTAAATACACTGTTTGGCTGATGGGATCTAACGGCGTGGGAAAATCTTCAATTAGGAATCAATTTATGACATCAGAATATATCTGTCAATATGATAACTGGCATGGTAAGCGATATTTCTCTTTAATTCATAATTATAATTCTTTATTTGTACAAAAAGAGTAATTTGAGCTGAATGTATTATGATGAAAAGCTTAAAGAAAGAATAGCTGCTTGCATGGCCTGCCGCCTAAAATAATTATTAGAAAAAATATGTAAGGATTTCAAAGAGACCAGCTAGTATTATTTCACGCTTCCATCTCGTAATTAATAATAACAGAAACGAAGAACTGAGCTTATTGTTTTTTAACCACTCATTTAATTAATCGATAACAGCAGATTCAATATGAAAGAAAAAAAAGCTTACGTTTTGCCAAATGGCAAAGCATTGACACGCAAAAGATAAAAATATTTTATTCCGATCAATAGCAATGCATTTCTTCGAAATCTCTAAGTTTTCTCATTAATTAAAAAAATATATATTTTAGGCTTTGTCGTGTCTTATTAAATGTCTGAATTGAAAAACAGACCAGTCTGACAAACAAATATCTTAAGCTTTGTGGAAAGGCAACATAGTAATTTTAAATCACTAAATTTGTTGATCAAAATGTTATTAATTCCAAGTAAGACATAAAATGAATAAAAACAAGTCCGAAATGCAAAGTTTGATTTTCGACATGAACATATTCGGAGGGAGGACTATACTATAATATGTATACAAAATTTGGTCATTCTAGGCGTCGCAATTTTTTCGCAATGCGAGGGACACCCATAGATAAAGACTCTTCAGTAGTTAATAACAGATATTAACTAATTTTTGATACAGAGATATGTTTGCGTCGAAATGGGAGACATAAATAGTTAATTTTCTAAAATACACACAACGCATTTAAATTTCTTTGAAATTTAGAGTTAATTGATTACTTTTATAGTCATGAATATCTTCTAAAACGGAATTTTAAGAAAGTATTGAGCTAATTTGGTTTAAAGTATGAATGGAAAATGGTCGATATGACGTTAACGGGTTAGATTCTTTGATGGAAAAAGTGATTTAAAATCACTAACGTAATAAGTAACTGAACTGTAATGATTTAATTTTAAAATTAAATTCATGCTTAATATATAAATGTGGGAATTTTAAAACACTTGAATAATCGGCCACTAATAAACGGCAATATTGTTTCTTTTTATTTTTTATTTATTTATTTTATTTTTTAAAGAATGCCTTGCTTTAGACTGGCAACAAGAACAACAATAGTTATAATTCTAAAATAATGAAAGGGATATTTTTTGTTTGTTTATATTTGTTTGTTTTGTGTTTGATATTTTTTGTGTGTGTTATGCAATGTAAAGTATTTGTGTTAATTTAAGTATATATTTTGTTGCATGAAACTGTTTATTCTTTGTATTAGCTCATGTAGCTGTCAAATCTCTATAAAATGGTTTAAGAACTGGGATCCGAAAAAAACCCACAGAAGTGGACTACGATTCTATATAGGTTCGACATGTACTTAATAAATACACACTTAAAAATTAACGCATATATTACTTTATTTGCATCAGCGTACAAAGAAATGAAAAGGCAACTGACCCATTACTGATAATTCTAAAGAATTTTATCGTATTAATTCGAATTTAAGCCACATTAACTCGTACTGCTTATCCTACTAGCTTAAATTCGAAGCAATATGGCAATAACAAAAACACAGAGACAAAGAAAAGACAACGTAAAAAATATGGGAAATTAAAATCAGTAATATTAATAAATTAAAAATTCATTATTTTTACTTCTTACTTTTCACAATTACTTTACTTTGCACCATCACACAAAAATACGTAATTGATCGTTATATCTTAAATATTAATTATTAATTAAACTCAATTGATTAATAATTAATCGTTATATCTTTAGCATTCTACATCTCTTCCCAGCCAGGCGAAAAAAACTTGTTGCGGACTCCACATGACTTTCTTATACGGTCTGTTAAATTATATACATATTTCACTGCATCAATAAACTGATATTAAATACTGTTAGATATTTACAGTAATAAACTGGTATTAAATATTGTTAGATTAAGTACATGTACTCGTTGTTTTATATTTAATAGTGCTGATTGCAATAAAAAAAGAAGTGCCGCAACTAAATGTTAGCAGTCCCATATGCAAAATTTCAGTGTTCTTAATCGTTTTTGGGTTATGCGAGATGCATAGATGCATACTTATGTACGTACGTACTAACAGACATCACGAAAAACTTGAATCGACTTTACAATCCTTTTGGAAAAAAAAAGCCCTTTACTCTGTCCATACGTACAGAACGTCAAGGGGAAAAAAATCGTCCAAATGGATTCGGGAATATGGACAAAATGAATATTTCCCTTGTGAAGTAGTCCCATATACAAAATTTCAGCGTTCTTAATCGTTTTTGAGTTATACTGTAGAGACATTAAGTATTTTTTGGAAGCAGGCAAGATGCAAAATTTGCAACGCCTTCGCCAGGATTCGAACCGCGGACCTCTGGAACTGGGCCCAGCGGCACACCGCGAAGGCACGCGAAGAAGGCGGGAGAAATACTTGTAATACGAGATACATAAATGCATACGTATGCACGTAAGTACGTACTTACGGACATCATGAAAAAAATCCTTACTGAATCGATTTTACAATCAGTTTGCGAAAAAAAAGCCCTTTATTCTGGCTATACGTAGAAAGACTCAAGGGAAAAAAAAAATCGTCCAAATATGGACAAAATGGATATTTCCGTTGTGATTTTTCATTCTATTGTGCAAAATGCATGGCATATACAATAATAAATTTTTAGTGATTTTCGATCGCTTTGTGAAAGACACTAAGGATAATTATTTTAGCAACACATCATAAGCACCTTAGCTTATGATGTGTACAAAGGAACATACACGTACTGTCTTCTTAATTATTACGTTAGGTAATTATTTTTAATGATAAAATTTCTCAAAATAAAGTAGATAATTTTATGAAAACAGTTTTAGCATTTTTATTAAAAAGGTTCTAAAAATACAAAATATAAATTTATATGACCCTGCGGAACAAAAATTCTGACTAGTGAAACATTCATTCACATAAAATCCAAAAAGAAAAAAAAAATTCTGTTCCTTTTAATGAGAAAATTAGAGATATTCTATCACGAATTTATTTACTCGAATCACCTTTTAATGTTTGTTACCGAAGGAAATGCGAAGCGTTCTAAATATATAAAGAGCATTTACTGGCGCGCGGGGGGGATTTATTTAGGCTATTAAAGGATTGGTATTGACCAGAACTGTGCTTCGCAATAAACTTGTAAGCAACATATTGAAAATAGTAATTACTTGTATCTCTGCGAATTCTTAATATAAAGGTAGAAAACTATTCGAATCTAACATATTAAAGTATAATGAATATTTTACTAATATTGCTCCAACATGACTACATAAAAAGTTCACTTTTAGATTGACAGAACTCTTGTTAAAAAGAAATTAGAATTCTTGGAAGTTAGATTCATCGATCCTTTGTTGATATTGCATCCAAAATTGAATTTTTTAAATTGGTAACGACGAGAGATACTACTTACCCTCTCTTTATTTTCGCAGTCATTTATATTAAACATATATAAATGATGCACATATTCATGTTTTGTCATTTTTTAATCAAAAAAACACTTTTATAGAAGTGACGAAGTTTAATTTTTACTTCCTTGTACGAAGTAAAAAGGAAGTATTGTAATCGCGAAAAGTTTCAGGCAGCATATTTCAACGAAAATATCCATTTTGACCGCTTTCGAATGCAATTTAACGATGTTTTTGCGTGATATGTGTACGTAACGACAGAATAAAAGACTCTTTTCCTCCAAACAAATTATAAAACTGCTTTAAAATGAATTCTGAAGAGAATTTTTCGTGGCGTCTGTACGAACGTACTATGTACGTACGTATCTCGCATAACTCAAAAATGAGTAGCCTCAAACATTGAAATTTTGTATATAGGACTACTATAACATGAAGATGTGCACCTCGTATTTTGGTTGCAATCGGCAGCGCCAAACGTATATATTTATATACGTTTGGCGCTGCCGATATTTATATATATATCCACTCTGTTACCCGGCTCAGTGATCTCAGTTTCTTTACTCTTATATGTTTGTACTCGTAAATTGTACATTTTTTGCTTTAAAAATGATTGACTTATGTTGTTCTTGTCTTCCGGTTAAGGTTTTTATGCCTTTAGTAAATCTGTATGCAATATTTTTAGAATTATCAACAATTTTAAAGTTGTTTAAGTGCCACTAAGCCTAATAATTTTTTTGATGGCCGAAAGTGCTTGTTTACATTTGAAACAGCAGAGTAGTGGATTTGTTGCCAATCTAGAGAAACGTAGCTTCGCAACAACAAATATAACGCCTTCATTTATTATTGCGAATTAAATCAGGCTTAATCCTTTCTGGAAATTTTTAAGGAAATAAGTGTTTAAGATTTACTTAATTTTTAATAATTTAATTTTTAATAATTAGTAATTTTTAATATAGATATTTTGAGCTTTTATGTATTTTTGCCTTGTCACGAAGTGAGAACTGAATTAATTGAATGAAAAATACTCAATAATCTGTGAAAAACTGTTTCTTTTTTGTTTTGTTTGCTTAATTTCTTTTATGCATCGTTCTAGCTTTATTATAGTATTTGAAAAGAACATGTGGCAACGATTAAATAATTCTATTCTTTAAATGATATAAATTTTGTGCATTCTGAGTTATAATATGAACGAAATATAATACCGTTAAGTGAACCTAGCGCCAGAGTGTCGCTATGTTAAACAAATAGAGTGAATTTTAAAGAATGCCTTTATTCTGTTGTGGTTTATGCGCTGTCGGCGAAGTAGATTTAAGTAAATCCAATAAGTTTAAACGAAATACAAGAAAAGAATGCGTATAATTTAATATTCCGTACAAGGAAGTCATGTGGTGTACACATCAGACTTTTTTTTTAAGAGTCCTTCTGTCGCTAGACTCTTGTAAGACAAAAACTGATCTATACAGTCTAAAAAAATGTGATA